TCATAGTAAACCAGTTTTGGACCCTAATAATCTACAGATTTTAAGGGCTTTCTTCAGAGGGAAACAGGCATTGAGGAAAGCCACAGATATGGACCTCCCTTCATTTTCTAATATTTCAGCAGGAAAGTTACCCAATGAAATCAGCTTGTCTGGCCCAATAACACTTCAGCCCAGCACTTCACCCTCCTGGGATATGGGCTAATCTAGCTCAAATAACATTAGTCAGCGCATTAACAGGTGAGACTATATGTTATTTTATATTTTATTTCATAGGCTTTAAAGCAATTGTTATCCAGTTTTTGTTCTAAAGTAGTTATATGTAGATCAAAGAAATTAACTGCCCTGTGCCCTTTACATACATGTAAATGTTAGATAAAGATGAAGAGAACAAACTAGGCTTTATGCCATGCAAACAAGAATTAAATGATATTTGTTTAACGTTAAAAGACAATTCCACTGTCTTGAATTGATAGCAAAGATCACGTAATGAAACTGATAAGGCATGTCCATGCCATTCTATTATCGTGTAGACCTTTCCTACAGATTTCATGATCAAAGATTAAGCTCAATCCAGGGCAGAAGATTGAAGGGAAAGGAAAAATGTAATTCAAGAGTGTTGTATTTACCTTTTTGTACTTCAATTCTTGTATTCCTATATTTTATATCTTTGTTCAAAGTTTGCTTGTTCTTTTTATGTGAAAAATAAACCTTGAATCTGCCCCCAGAGTTATTCTTGTATCTTGCTTCATCTTGAGATCTAGTGAATGCAAAGGCAATAGGATATAACTACTATTTCCACAAACATCTTTCTGTCTTTCTGTCCATATGTGTAATGCATATCTCGCAAACTGATCAACTTGGGCATGATAATGCTGTGCTGAATTTGGTGTGATTAGACGTTCAATATTCATAAAATTTGAATAAACAAGCAACTACAGTGTTCTGTAGCAGTCAGTGGGTTGGGGCAGTATGCCTTCAGTCTTGTGTACTTATCTGCAGCCAATAGTCCAGCCAGATCATTTTGATAATGTCATTATTTTTATTTCAATATATCACACTAACACAGACATTCATAGAATCACTTCCTCTGAAGTAATTTGTCTACAAAGTAATAGCATAACATTTTGTGCTGTAACGTTTGAGCTGAATTACAGAGCTTTTATTTAAAAGAATTGTGAACTTGGGTATGCAGATTGTGTCAGTTGCTTGACTGACCTCTGAAATACTTGAAATTCAATGTATGTAAAAATCTGCATTGCAGATAAATCCAATGGGATGAACACAAAGTTTTCTAACTTTGCTTCTTACCTAGACTGTATATGAAAAGCAAACAATAAAACTGTGACAGTGAATTATAGGCCTGTTTGAGAAGGACTCTACCATAACCACAGGCCGAGCTAACATCCCATTTCAAACAGGCAGGTTTAGAACGGACACTAGTGTTTCAAATTAGGATGAGGAGCAACCAGAGAGAGAGTTTATATTCAAAAGAAAAGATTGGTGGTCAATGTTAATGTATAATTATAGGTACATTACAGCTGAATTATGCTAGAAAGTGAAAAATCATATGAAACTATTTTAAGTATAAAAACTATAAAATACTAACTATAACTTGAGAGCAATACAGCACCAACCACACCTCTCACCTTATTTACCTGATCAACCCATCATATTTCGCTTACATCATGGGCTCTCTGAAGAGGGAAACCGGCATTAAGAATCTCACACAGTCATGGACCTGCCTTCATTTTCTAATATTTCAGCAGGAAAGCTACCCAATGTAATCAGCTTGTCTGGCCCAATAACACTTCAAGCCCAGCACTCCACCCTTCTGGGTCATGGGCTAATCTTTCACGAATAACATTAGTCAGCGCGTTAACAGGTGAGGTCATGGCACAGGAAATACAAGTCAGCTGAGATAAACGAGCGATGGAAAGATCGTGACCTGGTCTCTGTCTCGCTGCTCTCCGGGAGGTTCAGGAAGCAGAATGATAAGACTGTTGGCCCTCACACATCGTCTGGGTTATGAGAGCAGGGAGGGAGTTACAGAGTTTGCTGATGTGTGTCAGAAAAAAAACAGTGTGTCTGGGTCCTCGAATGCTGCAGCTTGGGATGGAAAGGTTTTGAATTCGTGACAGGTTAACACAATGTTAGTTTGTTCAATCTCTTCTGACAAATGTCCAAGTAAATATCAAAGCTAGGAACTCTCTGATGAAACCAAAACTCTTTCCTCAAATTAGTCATGCGAAAATGAAAAATGGCCCAGACTTTGATATAGAGAGGAGCTGTGGGGGCTCCACTACAAAGGGGCTCATCCACCATGAGCATCTGTCCAGAGCTAATGACAAACATTTTCAAAAGATACTTTCTTACTGCAAGTTGCACATTTTGCAACTTATACAAGCTACAAGCTGAACATTAAGCAATTTTCAGAAACAAATTACTTGACAAATGACAGAAACAGACGGGAACAAAAATGAACCTTCAAATTAATGAAAAATGTCACTATACAACGAAATAAAAATGTTCAGTTTTGGGACATACAAGACATACATATAAGACACTATAAACACAACTCAGATTCTGACTGATTTAAGACTTTCATAACATATTTGACATGCATCATGACAGAAATTTGTTTTTGAAGACTAAAAATTATTAAATGGTTTACTATTACCAACAGTGTATAACTGATGTATAATAGAAAAGTCCTGCCTATAGAAAGAAGTGTGGTATGAAATTATGCGTGAATGAAGAGTAGAGAGGCGCTACATAAATACAGTCTATTTGTGTTAGCTGTACATACAGTATAGCAGTTATCAAACATGTCCTCCAGAGGACCCTCAGAGAGTTTGGTCAAGTTTTCCTTTCACAGGTGCACAATGCAGCAGGAAGTTCTCAGTTCAGCAGTTTGTGCATAATCCTGCTGACAGACAAACACACAAATGGACAAAACATAAGGTAATAAGACATGTGTCCATGAGATTGTTGCCTCAGTGCCTGCTGGGAGGGTCCTTTACATGTGTAGGCTACCTTATGCACCTGCAATTTAGCTCTCAACATAAGATTACTGTATACTTATTCAACAACTTATTATAATAAACCTCAAATTAACATCCAAAACACGAAAAATATCTTTGAATCAGTCGTTTTTTTAGTCAAGGAACATTTTAAAAGAAGGTCACTGGTTATATTTGGTGCACAACTTTGACTGAAGCCTGCATTGTTCATAATGAGCAGTCTACTGCAACTGCATCATCTACTCCTGTCAGGAGCAATATAGCTGATAATATTTCTGAACTAAAACAGACAACACATGCATTAAGCCTTTGAGCAGAGTTTGAGGGCTTCGGCTGGACTGAGTCATCCAGCTCCTGCTGCAGCCAAAAGCATCAAGCTGCGCTCCGATTCCAGTCAAACACCTTGACTCACTTCAGCTGTTATACCATAACACAGGATGTAATTAACTCTACATATCCTGCTGTGACTAACAAGCTGTGGAGTCAGGTGGCTTGTTTTCACTTCCAGTTCACATGAGCACCAAAGAGAGCATGGTCAAAGATTGCTAATCACCAAAGGAAAGTTATACAACAAAGTACTCTATTACTCTACGACTGAAGGAGGGTGTTTTTCTGCTTTTTCACCCTGGAGAGGCATTTACTCTTCCATTACACACAATGTTGAGGTGATAAACAACCAAAGAAGACACTTATCAGTCCCAGCTGCTTCTTTTGTGAATGTGGTTGTGTCGTGTGTGTGTGTGTGTGTGTGTGAGAGAGAGAATGTGACTTGTGTAAAGCGTGTTGAGTGGTAGTAAAGGCAAGAAAGTCATTATATAAATGCAGTCCATTTAACAAGCGTTGCACATTGCTGCTGTATTATAGACTGTGTATGCTAACTTTAATAGAAGCATACAAGTGACAGAAATATAAGGAAAACAAGAATTAACATTAAGGCTGGAGCACTGCTAATAAAGCAATGAAGTTGATGCTGAACTCGTACATTTCTTCTAGACTGGTAGGTAAACAGTTACCACTAACATTGGCTGTGTAGCAATAGAAACAGCTGACATATGGCTCCTTTGAAGATTGATATTCCATACTGGTGATCAAAGGGCAAGGTCAAAAAGCTGATTTTTTTTCTTGAATATAATATCTCAAGACACCTTGAGGGAATTTCTTTCTTTACTTTTGATCAGTTGTTACTTGGACTCAGACATTAACTTATTGCATTTCAGTGGGTAAAGTCAAAGGTGATGGTGAATAAGAGTCTGGAGAATTAATGTATTAGACTGAAACTGCACTGTTTGGCAAACAACCACACTGATGATTCTAGTTTTAGTGA